TGGAAAAACAGAATAATTTGAAGGAGAATCAATTAAAAGCAAAACAATATGAGATTATAATCATTGAGTGTGTGTTATAACAACAGTGTCTGAGAAAATGAAACAAGCAAAACATAAAATAAGTATATAACTGCTAAGTTCATAAAGTGGATCTTACATGTTATTACAACTGGGGTACCTGTGATTGACTAGACTAGACTAGATTTTTCACTTTGTTTTATATTATTATTGGTTATTTTATTTTTCAGCTACAGTTTCCTGTTGGATATTTAAGACCAGTATAGTTTTTAAAAATTAATCTTTTTTGTTAAGGTCAGTTGAGGGCCTTTAAAGTTACTCTTGGAGACTTGGGAAGAGCCTGTTGGGTCTTTGAGTGTCCTTCTACCAGTGGTGCCACCTGCTGAGATGAATCACTTCTTGCTGAGCACATGGTCTCTGGAAGCACTGAGGACAGGTTATTGTCTGTGTTGATTCTCATTTTTGTAGGATGTACACTGTTTAGAGCCTAATCTCTGGGGTATCCATGCCCTCTTTGATAAGATGAGGCTCACTAAGATATAGGACACTTTGAGAGGCATCCTGTTGTTGTCTGGTACTCTGGGACCTAGCTGACCTCAGAACCAGCCAAAATATTGGCTTTCCATTGACTTTCTATGTCCTCATTGGCTTTGACCCAGAAGCTGTTATAACAGTAGTGAATAACAAATTGTTGTTTAAAATTTAGCTTTGGGGGGCTGGAGAGCTGGCTCAGCAGGTAAGAGCACTGAGTATGTTTGTAGAGGGCCCGGGTTCAGTTCCCAGTACCCACATGGAGGCTAACACCCATCATCCTTCCTTAATTCCAGTTTCAGGGGATCCAACCCATTTTCTGGCCCCTCAGGCACCAGGCACATGGTACACTTATGGAAAAACACTCACACATAAAATAATGATAAATAACAATAATAAAACGACAAAATAAAATTTAGCTGGTGCACAAAAGTAGATAAAACTTGACAAAGACAGATTTTAAAATACCTTGAATTTGTTCAGACTTAGATTTTTATATAAGAAAGCTGGTAGAGACTATAAGAAATTTCTTTGATAAAATATGAAATCTTTGAAGCCTGCCATGGTGCACACATCTTTAATCCCAGCACTCGGGAGGCAGAGGCAGGTGGAGCTCTGTGAGCTGAAGGCCAGCCTTGTTTTACATAGAGAGTTCCAGGCCAGCTGGACCTATAGGAAGAGCATCTCAAAAAAGACAAAAAAAAAATCCCCCAAACAAACAAACAAACAAACAAAACATTAACAGCCCTGGAGACAACTTTTTTCTTATGAACAAATTAAAATTAACCAATTTGCTACAGATGTAAGCATGCAGGCACCTCGAAACTGGTTTTCTTTAAAAGGGTCAGCTTCTCATTTGAGTTTGCAACACAAAGGAAAATCATGATAAAAAAAATTCACTTTGTACATAATCAAATAAAGCACAGAAACAAATCACTGTTTTAAATATAAAGTTGCTTTGGACTTTGGAACTGCAAGAGTTCCCAAGATAGACCATTTCCAGATGAAAACAATTATCATGAGACAAGGCTGTGCGCACAGGAAAAAATAAACATCTCTTGAAAATTAATTCATCTCCATAGACAAGAAGTTTTTGGAGTGTGTTAAGAGCAAAACAGAAAAAAGTGAATGAGACTACACCTTGATTAGAAGTTTAATTATGCATATCTCTTGCTTTTTTGTCCAGCTTTTAAAATAACAAATATATGTGACTTTATCAGTTTTAAAAAAAGCCAATTCAATGGGAGGATCTTGCATTCCTTTGATTTGCCAATTTATCCCTCTTTCCCAGAAAAGAGCACAGCGTGCAAGCTGGCAGTCTAAATGCTTCCTGGGTGAAAGTTCTTTGGAGCTACGACCAAAAGACCTGCCTTTTCAGACTGCTGGGCCTGACTTTCCACACAGTCCCACCCGCCTACTTTGCTCCCTGCTCAATACATACTTTTGTGCACATGGCTCTTCTTTTTCCTGGCCCTCGACACTTCCTGTTATCATGTTAATCCTTCATCTGTATAGTATTCAAAAGTGTAGGTTATAATTATAGTCTATGAAAATTACCAACCTACTCTTAAATCCTTTGTACACAGCAGGATCTCTGCAAACATTTCTGGACTAAGCTTTGGCATTCTGTCAAATGTTTTTTCGCCCAGACCCCACTCCTGCCCATGGCCAACACTGAAGAGGAAAGTTCCAATTCTCTCTTTTTTCGCACTCTCCTGGCGTTCTGCATTGAACGTCATAGACTGTGACATCTTTGATGATGATCAATGATGGACACCTTCGGCTTAAAGCTAGAAAATTTTAAGGGCCTAATTTGAAGACAGGATCTATGTATCTCCTAGACCCTCGTCTTTTAAAATGCCACATTCTTCCCTAAACTCACATTGTTGGTCTGGTTTAGTGAAAATGTTATCTCTGCAGATTTTTGCTGCAGTTATCTAAAATCTAACTGAAACAACACACTGGCTGCCTAAGTGTAAGCCAATCAGTTCCAGAGGCTGAAATTCCTTTCTTTCCTCTTTGGATTTTGTTCAGCTTCATTGTTCAATGACTCATCTTAAACTGCAGCTCACCTTGTAAGCCCTCTCATTCCTTTCAAGAGCAGATGTGAAAATGACACTGTTTTGTTTTTTTAATCAAAAGTCTTACAGGAATTCTTACCCTTTTTTCCATCATTCTTCTCCTCCTATAGTAAATTCATAGTAGGGAAAGAGAAAAACTGCTTTTAATAATGATTGCAATTATTGCAGTGCTCTCAGCGCAGAGGCCCTGGGCACAGAGGATACCTGAAGAACTCTGGCCTCTTTTCCAATCTTGCTTGGGATCTTCAGGCCTGAGCATCTTCTCTGCATTATGTGGGGAAGAAAAAAAACACCACATACACATGCGTGCACGTGTACACACACACACACACACACACACACACACACACACACACGCCAGAGCTCAGGAAGCTGGAGATTTTCTGTAGAGCGCAGGCACAACATTATGATAGAATTAAAGGGACCCTGCATATGTTGTATTATGGAAACACTTCCTTTTAGTTCTGACAGCTAGGGTGGGCTGGCCCAGGGGCCTCTGGGCTTGCACTACAAGGGGTGGAGGGGCAGGGTGGAGCAAGTCTCTGCCCTCTGCCTGCCTCTCTCCTTAACAGGCCTGCCTGAAGCTGTCCCCAGGGAAAGCAGCCAACAGGAAATACGGGTACCAGGGCAGCCACAGTGTGGCATGGAACAACTGCGGGGTCAGAGTAGGCCACAGCAAGCACAACAGCTTTCTTCATGTCCGTTTACCCCCTTGTGTCCTAATTTTTTTCTATTTAATTTGAAGAATACCTGAAAGATGAAAAGGATGTCCATGCAGAACTAATAATATCAAAGTATATACTACCAAAAGCAACCTACATATTCAATGAGATATCCAGCAAAAATCCAATGTCATTCATCACTGAAATGAGGGAAAAAAACCCAAGTAACTCTATTCATCACTGAAATGAGGAAAAAAAACCCCAATAACTCTAAAATACATATAGAAGCATAAAACACTCAAGATAGTCAAAGCAATCTCAAGCCAAAAGAACAATGTTAGAACTAGCACACGACCTGATTTCAAGTTATACTGCAGAGCCATGGCAACAAAAAGAGCATGGTGCTGGAATGGAATAAAGGACCCAGCCATAAATCCATACTACTATAGACACCTGAGTTTTGAAAAGATCTTTGGGGATGGACAGAGGGCTCAGTGGTTAAGAGCACTGGCTGCTCATGCAACGGACCCGAGATTAGTTCCCAGCACCTACAGAGTGGCTAACAACCATCCATAACTCCAGTTCCAGGGGATCCAATTCCCTATTCTGGCTTTCACCGGCATTACACAACATGAGTACACACATACATGCAGGCAAAACACTCATACATATAAAATAAAAAATTAATAAAAATTTTAAAATATTTTTAAAAGATACTAAAAATATATATTAGACAAAAAATAGCCTCTTCAACAAATGTTACTGGAAAAACTGAACATCCACATGTAGGAGAAACTAGATCCTTATCTCTCACTCTATATAAAAATCAACTCTAAATGGACTGAAGACCTTATTGTTAGACCTGAAAATCTGAAATAGCTAGAGGAAAAGTAGAGAAAACGTGTCAATATATATGACAAATGGAACTCCACATAATTAAAAAGCTTCAGAGCAGCAAATGAAACAATCGTGATTGAAATAACCTAAAGAATTGGGGAGGGGACTGGAGAGATGGCCCAGTGGTTAAGAGAATTGACTGCTCTTTCAGAGGTCCTGGGTTTGATTCCCAGCACCCACATGGCAGCTAAGAACCATCTGTAACTCCAGTTCCAGGGGAATCTGACACTCTTTTCTGATCTCCATGGGCATCGCATGACATGGGTACACTTACATACAGCAGGCAATACAGTCCTACACATAAAATAAAAATAATAAATAAAATATGTTTTTAAAAAGAATGGAGGTGAAATCTCTGCTGGTTATACATCTGACAAAGGATAAATATCTAGAATACACAAAGAACTAGAAAAACTAAACAAGACATTTTTTAAGTCATTAAGTGTGGCAATGAAATGAACAGAGAGTTTTCAAAAGATGAAATACAAATGTCCAATAATCATGAAAAAATTTCAACATCACCTAGGTTTGAGCCTCAGCACTGTATTAACCTTGTCTCAAAAAATAAAATAGAATAATAAAATAAAATAAAATAATAAAATAAAATGAACAAGCAAAACTCAACTACATTGAGATTCTGCCTCACCCCAGTCAGAATGATAGTCATTAAAAAATAAGTAACAACGGCTCTCCCACCTCCTCCGAACAAGCAGTGACTTAAGCAACGGGGCGCAGCAAAACCTATTTTTTTTCCTTCCTCGCAGCCGCACCGGGGAGCTCGCGATGCACGGCCCCTCCGCTCCAGCCCAAGATGAATGCTGCGGCAGAAGCCGATTTCAACATCCTCCTGGCCACCGACTCGTACAAGGTTACTCATTATAAACAATATCCACCCAACACCCTACTTTGAATGCCATGAAAAGAAGACAGAAAACTCCAAAGTAAGGAAGGTGAAATATGAGGAAACAGTATTTTATGGGTTGCAGTACATTCTTAATAAGTACTTAAAAGGTAAAGTAGTGACCAAAGAGAAGATCCAGGAGGCCAAAGAAGTGTACAAAGAACATTTCCAAGATGATGTCTTCAATGAAAAGGGGTGGAACTACATTCTTGAGAAATATGATGGTCGTCTTCCAATTGAAGTCAAGGCTGTTCCTGAGGGCTCTGTCATTCCCAGAGGAAATGTTCTCGTCACAGTGGAAAACACAGATCCAGAGTGCTACTGGCTTACAAATTGGATTGAGACTATTCTTGTTCAGTCCTGGTATCCAGTTACAGTGGCCACAAATTCTAGAGAATGGAAGAAAATGTTGGCCAAATATTTGATAGAAACTTCTGGTAATTTAGATAGTTTGGAATACAAGTTACACGATTTTGGCTACTGAGGCATCTCTTCACAAGAGACTGCTGGCATAGGGGCATCTGCTCATTTGGTTAACTTCAAAGGAACAGATACAGTAGCAGGAATTGTTCTGATTAAGAAATATTATGGAACAAAAGACCCTGTTCCAGGCTATTCTGTTCCAGCAGCAGAGCACAGTACCATAACAGCTTGGGGGAAAGACCATGAAAAAGATGCTTTTGAACACATAGTAACACAGTTTTCATCAGTGCCTGTGTCTGTGGTCAGCGATAGCTATGACATTTATAATGCGTGTGAGAAAATTTGGGGTGAAGATCTAAGACATTTAATAGTCTCGAGAAGTACAGAGGCACCACTAATAATCAGACCCGATTCTGGAAATCCTCTTGACACTTATGGGGCATGCTGGGCGCCAGGTTTGGGGTGTGTGGGCACACCTGGAAGCGGCGGCGGGTCTGGTCCCGCAGGCTTCTCCACCGTGCCGCATCCCGCGTCGCTGTCCACCACTTTAGTGCTGAAAGTCCCACAGCACCACGGCTCCGCATCTCTGTTGTGGCAGCGGGTTTCTGCTTCTCCGCTGCTTCCCTGCGTCTTCCGTGGCTCTCTGCTGCTGGGGCTTTGCCCAGCCGAGTCCCTAATTTCACCCATGCACTTTCCTCAAGATGTGAAATCCACCGGCCACTGGATCACGCGGGAGAGTGTGAGGGTGGCTAAAGCTGGGATCCGTGAGTCGGTGACGGAAAGACAGCTCTTCCCGGGAAGGCTGGATCGTAGGCAGTGAGACAAGACTCAGCTCAGTCAGACTTAGTGTTACAGCTCTTTATTCAATGGCTCTGCATGGCTCCAAGCCTCAGTGTCCCAGAGTGATCCAGCTCCTTCAATTATTGAGGGGAATCAGGGAACTTTATACCATGGGGGTAGTGGTAAAAGCTTCAGCTGATAGGTACTTTGGGGATGCCTCATTTGCATGTGGAAATGGGCTCCCACCAGGCTGCCAAACTGCTTGAAAATCACACAGGAAAGCCTAATAGTTACAGAGCCGGAGGCTACATTCCTGTGGCTGCTACTTCACAAAGGAGTCAGGAAAAATGCCGGGAAGGCACCCTGCTGTGAAAGGAGTCTCTGCATATGGCTCTGAGCTCCTGAGCTATCCGGACATGGAGAAACTTCTACTTTACATAACAGAGGCCCCCAACAGACACTGTATTAAAGGTTTTGGATATTTTAGGTAAGAAGTTTCCTGTTACTGAGAACTCAAAAGGATACAAGTTGCTGCCACCTTATCTTAGAGTTATTCAAGGAGATGGAGTAGACATTAACCTTACAAGAAATTGTAGAGGGAATGAAACAAAAAAATGGAGTATTGAAAACGTTTCCTTTGGTTCTGGTGGAGCTTTGCTGCAGAAGTTAACAAGAGATCTCTTGAATTGCTCCTTCAAGTGCAGCTATGTTGTCACCAATGGCCTTGCGGTTAATGTCTTTAAGGACCCAGTTGCTGATCCCAACAAAAGGTCCAAAAAGGACCAGTTATCTTTACATAGGACACCAGCAGGGAATTTTGTCACACTTGAGGAAGGAAAAGGAGACCTTGAGGAATATGGTCACAATCTTCACCATACTGTTTTCAAGAATGGAAAGGTGACAAAAAGCTATTCATTCGATGAAGTCAGAAAAAATGCACAGCTGAATATCGAGCTGGACACAGCACCTCATTAGGCTTTTTGCAGCCTAGCAGATGTGCGTGCAGTGTGTGTATACATGCATGCACGCATGTGTACCCATGTGTGTATGTAACACATGTTTATTGTACAAATGTGTGGGGTTTCTCTGTGTTTTATGATACATTACAGCCAGATTATTTGTTGGTTTATGGACATGCTGCCCTTTTATTTTCTTTTTCCCGGTGTTTAAGTGATCTCAAATTAGGAAACACATACAACCATGTAAAAGCTGGACACTAAAGTAAGCTTTTTAGGACCCTTCACTACTAGATAGTAACTCGATCTGGTGTTGATCGTTTCACAAATAACATAGCCAAGAAATTTTTATATAAAACTACAGATCACATAAAACAGATTTGCATAAATTATCATGGCTGCTTTATGTTTATATTTAACTTGTATTTTTGTACAAACAAGATTGTGTAAGATATATTTAAAGTTTCAGTGATTTAACAGTCTTTCCAACTTTTCATGATTTTTATGAGCACAGACTTTCAAGAAAATACTTGAAAATAAATTGCATTGCCTTTTGTCCATTAATCAGCAAATAAAACATGGCCTTAACAAAATTATTTGTGTTATTGTACAATTTGAAAATTATGTCAGGACATACCCTATAGAATTACTAACCTCACTGCCCCTTGTAGAATATATATTGATCATTCTACATTGAAGAAAATAATGGTTCTTACTGGAATGTCTAGGCACTGTATAGTTCTATACCTTGGTCATTGTATTGTACCAGTGAAATGCCAAATTTGAAAGGCCTGTACTGCAATTTTATATGTCAGATAATTGCCTGTGGCTCTAATATGCACCTCAAGATTTTAAGAAGATAATGTTTTTAGAGAGAATTTCTGCTTCCACTAGAGAATATATACATAAATGTAAAATATTGACAAAAGTGGAAGTAGTGTATTTTAAAGTAATTACACTTCTGAATTTATTTTTCATATTCTATAGTTGGTATGACTTAAATGAATTGCTGGAGTGGGTAGTGAGTGTACTTATTTTAAATGTTTTGATTCTGTTATATTTTCATTAAGTTTTTTAAAAATTAAATTGGATATTAAACTGTAAAAAAAAGTAAGTAACAACAAATGCTGGTGAGGATGTGGATAAAGGGGAACACTTATACACTGCTGGTGAGAATGAAAACTAGTCTATTGACTATGGATATTAGTATGAAGGCTCCTCAAAACCCTAGAAATGGGTTTACTATATGAGTCAACTATACCACACCTGGGTGCTTTATACAAAGGACTTCAAGTCAGCACAGACATCTTTGCACATTAGTTATGGAACCAACTGAGATGTCCAATAAGAGAGGAATGGATAAGAATGTCGCATAGGAGCTGGAGAGATGACTCAAAGATTGAGTGCTTGCTGCTCTTCCAGAGAATCTGAGCTTGATTACCAACACCCAGGTCAGGCAGCTCACAACTACCTGTAACTACAGCTCCATGGGAACCGACACCCTCTTCTGGCCTCTGCCAGCATGTGTACATAAACACACACACACACACACACACACACAACATTTAAAGAGAATGTGATACAATAATATTTTCAGTCATAAAGAAGATTGACTTAAGGCTGGAGAGATGGCCCAGCAGTTAAAGGCACTAGCTGCTCTTGCAGCGGACCAAGGCTCAGTTCCCACCACCCACATGGCAGCTAGCAACCATCCATAACTCCAATTCCAGGGGATCCAGAGATTTCAATGTCTTCTTCTGACCTCCATGGGATTTCACAACATGGGTGCACTTACATGCATGCAGGCAATACATTCATACACATAACAGGGGATCCAACACCCTACTCTGACTTCAGCACACATTTTACAACACAGGTTCACTTACATACATGCAGCCAATACACTCATACACATAAAATACAAATAATTAAAAAATTTTTTTTAAAGATTGAACTTGGGGCTGGAGAGATGGCTCAGTGGTTAAAAACATTTTCTGTTCTTCCAGAGGACAGGTTCTGATCCCTGCACCCTATGGTGGTTAGCAACCATCTGCAACTTCAGTTCCAGGGGCTCTGACACCCCCTTTTGGCATCTGCGGGCATTGCATGCATATAGTGCACTTACATACATGCAGGCAACATATACATAAAATATAAAACATATACATAAAATAAATATTTATCATTTAAAAAGAAGATTGAACTTATTTGCAGGAAAATGGATACAACTACTTAAGCAAATTAAATCAGCCTCAGAATAACAAATATGTTTTCTCTCATTTGAAGTTCCTGAATTTTATATAGTTGCATAAAATCATTTGTGTGGATGTGGCATGGAAATAGAAGCAAAATTGTCTAGAGGCACAAGAAGAACAAGAGGAGTGGGGATCAGGGAAAATATGGTAAACGTACATCAGTGCTTGCATGAAAATGTTTGTATGGAACACTGTACCATGTACATTGAGTATACACAGTGAACATTTTAAAACAATAAAATAAAAAGTTTATTTGTGTATTTATGTACTATTCTTACCCCCAATACATACTCAGAGATGGAGCCTGGGGAGAGGGAGAAGAGAAGAATGGAGATTATTTTCCTCATCCTGGGGAGGCAAAACATCACCACAAAGAGATTATGGAATCTGGGCAAGAGAGAAAGATAAAGTCTACAAATCAAATCCCACAAAAGAGGGATCAGGGAAAATATGGTAAACGTACATCAGTGCTTGCATGAAAATGTTTGTATGGAACACTGTACCATGTACATTGAGTATACACAGTGAACATTTTAAAACAATAAAATAAAAAGTTTACTTGTGTATTTATGTACTATTCTTATCCCCAATACATACTCAGAGAGGGAACCTAGGGAGAGGGAGAAGAGAAGAATGGAGATCATTTTCCTCATCCTGGGGAGGCAAAACATCACCACAAAGAGATTATAGAATCTGGGCAAGAGAGAAAGATAAAGTCTACAAATCAAATCCCACAAAAGAAATCTTAGGAGGACAGCTATTGGAGTGAGTGCTTTCCTTATTTATTTATTTATTTATTCATTCATTCATTTATTGTTTTATGTATATGAGTATTTTGCCTGCATGTACTTGTGTATTTATGTACTATTCTTATCCCCAATACATACTCAGAGAGGGAACCTAGGGAGAGGGAGAAGAGAAGAATGGAGATCATTTTCCTCATCCTGGGGAGGCAAAACATCACCACAAAGAGATTATAGAATCTGGGCAAGAGAGAAAGATAAAGTCTACAAATCAAATCCCACAAAAGAAATCTTAGGAGGACAGCTATTGGAGTGAGTGCTTTTATTATTTATTTATTTATTTATTTATTCATTCATTCATTCATTCATTCAAGAGAAGAATGGAGATCATTTTCCTCATCCTGGGGAGGCAAAACATCACCACAAAGAGATTATAGAATCTGGGCAAGAGAGAAAGATAAAGTCTACAAATCAAATCCCACAAAAGAAATCTTAGGAGGACAGCTATTGGAGTGAGTGCTTTTATTATTTATTTATTTATTTATTTATTCATTCATTCATTCATTCATTCATTTTTTTTTGGTCTTTTTTGAGACAGGGTCTCCTTGTAACCTCAGCTGATCTGGAACTCACTAGACCAGGCTGACCTTGAACTCACAGAAATTCACTTGCTTCTGCCTGGGATTTAAGGCATGTGCCACCATGCCCAGCTGTGAGTGCCTTTTTTTTTCTTTTTTTTTAAAAATAGAATATGGGATATGGAATTTGTGAGTTCAACCTCAAAAAAATCCACAAGCAGCAGCTAAAAACCAAAATGAGAGAGGTACCTACCTGAGTCTTAGAATATGGTCACGTGTTAGGTCTTAAGATTTCATTCACTCTGCACCAAAAAACAGTCAATGGTGAAATATTAAAGGAATGCATGGGACATGAAAAGACAGAAAAATGTGTTGAAATACATTGGAAGAAAGCATCAGATGAGCCCAGAGATGAGATCATGTGACTTGGAAGGATTAATAGTCTTTTACAGTACTGAAGCAGGAATCACTTGATCTTATGTCATGAGTCATTTATATGGGTCCACGTCTGGGTAGACAGGTGCACATCTCACTATCTTGTTAAGTAATCACTTATAGCATAAATAAATTTTCTTGAGCCATGACATTTGTCCAGGCACCATGGGTTATTAGGTT